AAAAATTCATAGAAAATAAATTCCCCTTCTTCACAGGGATACTGTGGAGGGGACAAAAGAAAAAAAAGATTTAACTTAGGCCAAAACATTTCTTTTACTTTAATTGTATATTGCGCAAACTAGTTTATAATGTAAATGTAGGTTTATTGCATGAAACGTTGTGGGTTAGGAGCAAGTTTTCAGATATGTACAAAGGCAATAAAGCTACATTCAAAACGAGTTTCATGCGTTATTTTTTTGTATGAAGTTATAAGAGAATCAATGTTAATATTTGGAAACAACTTCTCTGTGACATCACGGGTATTTGGCATCTGCGCGAAAAAATTGTCGTCGACGGCTCTGTCTACCGATACCATCCCTCAATTCTCTCGCTGTGATTGGATGTGTAATGTGTAATGTGTAATGTGTAATTCGTGTCGGAAACGGCAAATACGTCATAATCTGTGCCATAAGATATTGTACGAACGATTTCGTGATGCCGCTGGAATACTTTTTTTCGCTCGCTGAACATGGTTTAAAACTTGGAAACTAGCTAGGAAGCAATCGAAGCTGAAATTATTCTCATCACACCACGCCCACACGTGAATATACACAGGTATCAAGCACACACGTTTCACCGTTTATGATTCATGAAAAAACTGACCGTGAGAATTACCTATTTACTTTCAAACTAGAAAAATGTTGAAAAAAGGCATAACAGTGCAGTTAAATACATTTTCTTCTAGTTTCGTTTCTAACTTCAGATAACAATCACGGTTACCCCTGAACACTTTGTTAGAAGAACATGCTTGGGCTTCATTAATATTTTAATTCATATGGATTGGTGGATAATAATGATAAGACTATAATTAGGAGACTCCAACAAGAAAAGTACTCAATACAAACCAAGGAAGAGAAGACCTGGGCACGCCAAGAATACGCTGAGAAAACCAGCAACGCCTTGGAAGTGACTAAAGAATACTGGAGAAATTAAAAGGACCAGGTCAAAAGGCCTAAACCTTGCATGTTAATGATGATGACTGTTATTATTATTATTATTATTATTATTATTATTATTATTATTAAAACTTTTATTTGTTAAATGTTGCGCCGTTGACACAACGCGTCTCTTGAACCCTTTTTGGACATAGAGTGCTTACTCTAGGGTAATCCTTCGTTAATGAGTTAATACTATATTTGTCAAGTCTCGTCACGTCACTGTCGGTCCGTATTATTCGGCCAGGGGCTCGACGCCATTAGATCCCAGGCTTCCTAGCCGGTCATCCAACAAGAAACCATCGAGTCCCGAATTCGCTTAACCTCCATGACTTCGCGTAGCATATTAAACGATTTCGGCTAGCGACGCCGACGCGAACGCCCCCTTCCCCCAAACCGATAACACATTCACAAATTTAAGTATTTATTACATAAGTAACGAAAATATAAAATAAATTTTGAATGCAGCGTAAATGAAAAAAAATATATTTATGTGAAAACGTCAAGTTTGCTGGATACCAAACCTATAGCCCCTTTGTAGAAAATGCCTGAATGTATCGCTGATGATAATAATTCTATTTATGTTATTGTTATGTTATTGTTTAATGTTATTGAAGATCTCATCATATTAGCTTTCATTATTGAGTAAACCTGTTTTGTATTAAATTTTTGATTTTCAATGCCTTGTGTCCGTTGTCTTCTTGACCATACTTCCCACTTCCAAAATGCCTACCAATGTTGTCAATATCTGGCAAGTCCATACAATTGTTATATGGAGTATTAACTCCATTTTTATGGTATTTGCATTGTGTATTAGAACATTTTCATAACATTGGAATGGAACCAACCTTGAGGATGAACTCGTTGTGTCCAGCTGATCAGTAGCGTTAATTATTATTGGACGATTCATTTTGTCACCCAAAATGATACTCTACAACTAAGTTTTATAGATTCTCCACTCCATTATCCTTGTTTTGTTACAGGTAAAGGAAATATTATTTTACCTGGAAAAATTAACAATTTTATGTATGCATTTTTTCTTAATTTGTGCCAACATTAGAAATTATATATAATTGCCACCACCTTGTATTGTGCATAAACCAGGAGACCCAGGTTCGAATCTCTGTCGGGGTGACACTCTTTGAACAAATTTTATTATTAGAACTTTCAGTAAAATTTGTGGTGTGTTTGTTTTAGGGTATCATGCCTCAGTATGCAGGTGAAGTAGTGCTCACAATTTCAAAATGAATGGTGAAATTCCTAGTGTACCAATCACCACTTTGGCTGGCATCTCAAGTCTTACAGACTGTAAGTATTATCATAATTGCTTTTAATATTGATGATGGAGTAGAGTAAATGTTCCTTTTCTCAATTTTCCATAGATTCCCTATTTGTATGTTGGTCACAATAATTGTGGTAATTTATCTCTGGCGAACCTTTCTGTTATAATTTTCATTTCCTTCAATTTTTCCTTTATCCTTTTTGCCTCTGACTTGTAAATTAGTGCTTTCTCTTCAATGGTTTGTTGCTTTGGTTTTGTCAAACAACTGCCATTTGTGAATTTGTCTTTTTGTGATATTTTCTTGCATGACTGGGTTGTCATATGGATGTTAGGGCACGTAAGTAACATCATCCAGAGCGTCCCGTAAGTGTCGGAATCTTATTCACAATATTTTTTTTTCGTCAAACGAAAATGGCTGTCATTTTAAACACATATGATAGATCACTTCTCGTTTAAAGGATCATTCAGCTTCTTAATCATTTAAGTTCATTTTCTTCCGTGGCGTGTTATTACAGTGCTGAGGAATGACGATTTCGCAGATTTTTACTTTCTCGCTTACTTTCGTAGTATAGGGAAAGTATTCAAAAGGCGGCGCGCGTCCGTCAAGCAGCAGAGCGCCTCCCACGCCGCCACCGCCGCACGCCACGACCGCACCGCCGCCCGCCGTGGAGAGGGGTGGGTTCTGCAGAGGTAGGTTTCGACGATGAACAAAGGGACCGCAGCAGGTGAAACACCGCTACCGGCGGCGCAGTGGGAATACCATCATTTGCTGCTGTGTTCTGCTAGCGATGGCGCGTACGCCCTCCTGCGCTTCGCGTAGGGAGGGTCCGGCGCCGAACGCCGCAGCGGCGCAAACCCGTCGCACGTGGGAAGGTCTCTATTCAAACCAATGCTCTACTACGAGCCGCGGTGTTTGGAAGCCTGCAGCGGTGGCGGCGTGTAAAGGGGCCCTAATGCTGCGGCTATAAAACGGAATTTTTGGACAGAAAACTTCATGTTGTGGAACCCTGTTGGAAGGTTATTTTATAATGCTGAAATACAAAAAATATTGTTATTTTATGAAGCACAGGATTTGCATATGTTTGCCAGAATCCACGTTTTTGGGTTCTTGGTACGGAAAAATCCGTCTACGGCAGAACGACTGTCCGTCCGTCCATGGTCGACGCTAACGCCTAAACCATTCAGACTATTTTCAATTTTCTCCAAAATTGATATTTCCCGTCCGATCTGGCCGAAATCTATGCCCTGCGAATGTTGAATATTTTGATTACTGGGGTTACATTTTCAAAATCTTCTCAAATTGGGTGCAAATTTGTGGATCGTTTTTCTCGGATAGAGCAAAGGATCCCCCCTCCCAAATGCGCACTTCTCTTCAAAGGGGCCGTGATGTTGTTGGCGTCTTCGTACAACTACAATATTGAAAGATGGACTTTTACTTCCTCGTCTTTACTTCGTAACAAAAAAAGTAGTGAAATCGTGCTCCAAAAACGGGGTTTTCGGCAGAAAAAAACTGTTGCCGGGCCTGGTAACGAGAAAGTGGATAAATCATGTTCCAGCGTATAGTGAATTACTTTAACACGTGTTGTCAGAATCTATTCTTTGTGGGATCGTGATACCGAAAAATCGATTGGCGACAAAACGTCAGTCCGTGTGTTGCCTGCCTGCCTATTTATGTCCGTTCGTCTGTGGCCAACGCCTGTACCTAAAGCGTTTAGCCGATTTTCTGCAAAATTGATATTCTCCGATCGCAATGAAGGCCCTCTTAATTTGAAACGAATATTTTGATTTCGGGGTACTTTACATGAAGCCTTAACATTTTGAAACTTTTCTTCAAAATGGGTCCGTTTTTTTGGATTAAACTTTGCCCTCGATTAGAGTTAAGGACGATTAAGAGAACGCTGTAGGTCTCATATTGAAATCACAGATTTGTTCAAAAATGTATTTTTTGTTCTTCTTCGTCTGCCTACAACTGCAATGTTGAAGATAGATTTTTTTTCACTCAATGAAATGTGTTCTTTAAAGACATCTTGACATAAGGTGTTGTACACTTTTTCAAAAATACTGGTTTTCAGGCACAAATTAGGCAAACAACTATTCATTTCTAAAAAAAGGGAAGTAAAGGGAAAGTTATGTAATGCTGCCGAAAATCGATTTCGAGATTTCAACAGAAATACGTTTTGGGGTCCCCTGATGCTGAAAAGTATTTTTTTTCAAAACGTCCGTCTGTCAACATTACTGGCACCTAAACCATACGTAGGATTTGGTCCAAATTGAAACCCCTGTCCATCTGGCTTGAGTCGAATCTTCCAGATTTTGAAAGAAATTCTTTAAAATTTGGGGGTACTTGATGTCCAAAATTTTCTCCAGATTTTTTCTTTAAATTTCATGCAAGAATACAGTAAAATACACTTATCAATGTTGCATATCTCCAATTTTTAGGTTTAACTCTGAATTTTGCTAAATTTCAAATTTTTTAGGGCGTCTTCCTACAACTACAAAATTGAAGATAGAGATTTTTCCTTCAAATAACATTTATCCTCCTTAATGAGTTCATTTAAGGTCATGCACATTATTTTGAAAACTTAAGTAGTTTTCGCGCAATATTGCGAGCAATATGTGCAATTAAAAAAAAAATACAAAATCAAGATTTTCTCAAACTGGCTCCAAATTTTTTCTTTGCTCTTTTGGCAGGGATAGTACTAAATGTACTCTATAATATGGCATTCAACGCCATATTGCTCTATTCTTTTGTTTTAAAAAAAATGCAAACATGTAATTTTTTGACTAGTGTCTCATGTTAATATTTATATTAGCTACGATTTGTTCACATTATTATACTTATGAGTACATTTGCTTTAAATAATGTCATATAACGTTTCTCGAAAACTAAACCGTTTTCTGTGAAACTACCTCAGAATTCCTCATTTTCAGGAATGGCCAAATGCCTTTTTCTCAGAACAAATCCAAATTTTCGACACAAAAACGTATTAGCCAAGACTTGATATCGAAAGAGTGGATAAATCTTGTTTCCGTATGTAGTAAATTATATCCCCTAACAAGGTGTGTAGTCATGTTACCATCGGGGCGAATCCAGCCAATCATGGGGGAGTGGGATGATACGAGTGATTTTTGTAAAATGTTTATCATATAAGCTGAGAAGGAGTCCACGTTGGTTGATGTGGCTGTCCGCCACAATGATGGGTCTAGCCTTCTATAAGCAGGGGAGAAATACTGGCGGTAAAATACCAAGCAGTCATCCCCCTGGCAGCTCAACTTCATGGAGTTCCCAACGCCAGAATCCTGCCAGTAGTGGTTGGAACCTCTGGGGCTATGCCAAAATTTAGTCAGTGCCCTCAAGACCCTGGGGATCACGTCTCGAGGCGATCTACTGACTATCTCGTTAATTGCTCTCAGAAGCTCTATTGAACTTCCCAGACAATTTGTAAATTTCAATGGAGCAATTTAGCATTGCTGGTAGTAAATACAGGAAAGACACTTTAATGTCCTGTGGGGAAATCCAGGGAATCCATTGGATCCTAAAATTCTTGGGAATTACCCAGTTACTATGACTCTTTTAAGTGTGAAGTGTATGCTATTTAATGTAGCATATAGAAAATTGTGTAGTCAAGTTTCCACGGGGGCAAATCGAGCCTATCATGGGGGAGTGGGATGATACAAGTGATCATTGTTAAATGTTAATCATATTTGTTATATTGTATATATGTGTGTGTATGTATGTATATGTGTGTGTGTGTGTATACATACATATATATACATATACATACATATATATACATACATATATATACACACATATATATACACACATATACATACATACACATATAATATACACACAATATTTTAATATTTACATAATTCTAACGAAATAAACATTTTTTGACAAAAAGGTAATAAACTTTTTCCTCTAGGTCTTTTTGTGGGGGGGGGGGCATGACCCCCATGATCCGCCACTGGATTCATTTTCTCGGAAACGGCACGAAATTTATTGATAAGCAGTGTCCTCTGTTAGAGTAAAGGGCGCTTAAGAAAATGGTGTGTCTCGTGTTCGTTGAAGTGACTGAGTTTTAGAAAATTGCAAAAGTTAAATTTTTTCGGTGTCGTCCTACAACTACAATATTTAAGTGTTTTTTTATTTTTCTCCTTTTACTGAATGTAATCTGTTCTTTAAAGACCCCTTGAAATAAGGTAATTTACAATTTTTCGAAAATTAGTAGTCATTTTTATTACTAAAATTAGTAGTGTCGTTTTTCGAAATTGGCCTATGTCGAGCTCCCTTGCATGGATATTTCCATATTTGCTGGTACTTAACATACATGAAGCCGTAATGACATTTCAAAAATTTTTCCTCAAAAATGGCTCTCTTTTACGAATAGAGCATTGTACAACACAGGTCAGATTTTCATTGAATCCTCTTAATTTTCGAAAATTTCAAAATTTAAGATTTTATTTGTTTTTCAAAGTCAGCTCTTTAAATGTCATGTTAAATTTTACGAAATTATGGGTAGTTTTAATGTAATTTTGCATAAAATATAGGCAATTAAAAATATATTTCATCAAAAAGAGAAACGTACATTATAATATTAGATATTACAATGTCAAAAAGACGTGTTCTTTCAACAACAACAACAACAACGACAATAATTGGGGGGGAGTGAAGTGAGGAACACTAGTTTACTTTTTCATTTCTAAAGTGTATGGGAAACAATTTTTGAGTGCGATAACAAAGTATTTTGAGCATGATTTGGTCTTTAAAAAAATTGTTTTTTGCTCTTTTTTTCCACTGGGGAAATGGTTCCAAAAATAAATAGTTTTAATATATTTAGTCCAATCAATATTTCAAGAGAAAATCATCTGCAATCGATAGAAATTGTTTTCTCAAGAACAAAAATTTCTCTCTCTGTCTCTCTCTCTCTTTTTTTTTAAACTTCATAAACATCTTTCAGAAGATTTTTGTATCAAAGTAGAATTAATTACTCAATCAGGATTTTTTTTGTAAAATCTGCCTTTTGACTGTGAACTTGCATTTGAAGCAATACTCGTTTGAAATACATGTTCCTAATTTCTCTTTCTTTAATTTAGGATTCATTGTAATAGCAGTAACTTTTTATAGTCTAATGTGTGATTTTCAAAGGAGATCTCCCCCTCTCTATTTGGTATAATTGACAGAGATCGTTCTTTAAAAACCTTAATGTTTTCATTTGAAATTTCTATGCAGAGAAATTGTGTGGAAATGATACTTGAGATAGTTGTCTACCCAAGTTTTAAAATTTTAATTGTGGGATATATCTGATTTTAGACATGCTTACTTGTTTTAATTATTAACTCAATCAAAAATAGTTCATTTAAAAAAAATTTATTATAATTATTTCATCCAGTATGCTCTTTTTCCTTCATAAATGGGATATGATTTGTTACATCATAACTCGTGAACTGTTTAACATTTTTTGATGATTCCTTTCCTGTTATTTGTATTATACTTAAGTGCCTGAACCTAATTTGAAGATTGCCAAGGGTCTTGTATATACTTTAGAGGGATTTGAATTAGAAGTATTGAAAATCCCTGGTGACAGTGTAGAACAATAGAGCAATTTATTATTGCTAATATGCATTTTCTATATCAATATCAGTTTTAGGTACAAGAATTGACTTTCTGCCATTCAATAAAAAGGTAATCGTAAAGATATCTTTAGAACTAGAAGAGTTATGATGTTTGAAGACTGGCCAAAGAAAAGTTTTTGGGGAAAAAGCCAGGTTAAGGTTCATTAGCTCTACGATGCTCTAGGATGATACGCTACACCTTCGACCTTGAAATGTTTTACCCTTCTCAGACTTTTCAAGTATTTCTTCCTGCTTTCACTTTCAGTAGTCTAGTTTATAGCTATTTATTCCTTGTGTCACACAGTTGCTCCTTGAAACATATTTTTGCCAGGTTTGATGGATGTCCTCTCAAATATTCAGAACATAGCTTGGGTGGGAAATCAGAAAATAACAACTGAAACAAAAACTAACAAACTTAAAAATGAACACTTTTCAGCCTTGGAAAGTACATATCTCAATGCACAAGAAACATTGAAAAACAAAACTTCCAATTTTTAATGGAAAAACATTTTGTGTTAGAAGAGTACCTTCACCATTGATAGTTTAGCTCTGAATATTTTACAAGTTGTGAGTGGACAAACACATATTCAGAATTTTAATTTGCCTAATTATTTAACTCGTAATTTTCTAATTACTTCTAGGTGAAGGATTTTGTGTATGCGATTACATTTGTAAAAGTTTTAAATAGATAATTCATGGGTAAAAAGTATGTGAAAATTCTAGTCATTGTAACAAGATGAAAATGTTCCAATTCCGAACACTTACATTTATTTGATTGTAGTTTGTTTTGTCTACTCTTCCATTGACTTATACACAAGTGTAATATATTTAATTGTATCTCTCGTTTTCTGCAACAATAACTTTTGTCAACATACTTTGCAACCTTATTACATGAAAGCAGATGTGTTAATGATGCACCACTATTTTGAATGCAATCTTGAAAATTCAAACACTTCTGAAAATGAAACTTTTGACCTATGACACAGACACTTGCAGAAAATGAGTGATATGTTCTTTATTTTTGTTTGCATGTGGGAGGGAATAGTGTGTGTTTGTAGAATAAATGTTTTGATTGTTATAATTGTGCTATTCCAGTGTTGCCAGAGATGCCTCTTCCATCACCCTTGCCTCAGACATTGAGCAATAAATCCCTTCTTTTTCATCCTCGCGTAGCAGAGGAGGCTCAGATTTTGTTGAGTGTAAGGGATGATGCATTAGTGCCTCAGTTAATTCAGTCACTTGTTCAGACATCAGCTGATCATATGTGAGTATGTTTAAAAGATTCTGTGCTGAAAATGCTTTGTGTAATGTGTGTATTTATGCTATTTTTATCATTTCTTTTCTAGAGAGCTTAAGGATCATTATGCTTGCTCAGAACAACCGGTAGATCAGCAACAAAATATTCCTGAACTACTAAAAGCGATCCTGCAAAGAAATCCAAGTGTATTTAAGGGACCACGTGGTAATCGTTCCTTAACAATATTTTTATGCTACTTCTGAAGTGAAGGAAATATATTAAACTTGTTTATTCATGTTCCAGCTAATTCACCACGCCAGCATCACTGGAATCAAGTTTCCAGCTTCAACTCCAACTACAATCAGGCATCTCCTGCTAGCTATGGTCAGGCATCTCCATCATACCCCAGTCCATGTGGCTCTCGTCACACCCCACAGGGAAGCCCAGCACCACCTGCTCCTGCAAGACTGCCTCCACCGGATGGAGTGCAGTGCCCTCCAGCAAAGAGCCCAAGACTTCATTCAATTTCTAATCTTGCTCCTGCTAGTGCCGTGTCGTCTAGTTCTACATTGCATACACCATTCACTCAATCTTTAACTCCTGGAGCGCCAGCACATCCTGTCCAGGCTCCTGCTGTGTGCCCCACTACTTCAATTCCCGTCCCTTTACCTGTTTCCATGCCTATACCAGTGCATCCTGCTTCAGTTTCAACATCATCTGCCTCCACATGTCTCAGCATGCCCACTGGCATGTTACCTGTCCACCCTCCTATTCCTGTTAAAACGGTTGGAGATCAAGCATTGTCTCATCGTGTGTCAGTGATTACAGAACAACCAAAAGTGCATAATACAGATTGTGTACAAACTCACAACAGTGGTGATATTAGTACTTTCTTTCATAGTAGACCACAAATAATCGCTAATCAGATTAGTGGTGAAAATAGTGACAATTGTGATGGTAGTAGTTCGTGTGAACCTATTCGAAATTCCAGTGAAGTGTCTGAAGAAGAACGAAAAGTGGACTTTCCTCATAGTGGTAACCTTGGTTTAGGATTATCACAGGGACTTTCCAGACAATTTTCAGAAAGTGCTTCTATATCCAGTATTCCTAGAACACACACCTCTCACTTGTCAGGTGAGTGAAGTTGCCATTTCTTGAAAGTAATTTGGTGTGTAAATCTGCTAGTGATGTATGTTTTCCATCTGTGTGTACAATGTTTTGGTAAACCAAATACCCTCATCCACTCAAGATAAATACCAGGACTCAAATGTTTTGGTCAGCATATAATTCTAGAGGTCTTAGGGCCCAAGACCTAGTTTGGAATTTGACTGCCCAGGTACCTCCTCGCGGTTTTGAAATAGGTTAATTTATGTACAATGGAAAGTTTTTATGTTAGCAGCCATAGCAAATATGATGGAAATAACTAGTGTTATTAGTTATAATTGTGTGTTTGTAAATTTAGAAATTTTAAGATGTAATTCATCCAAAAAGTTAAAAACTCAAAACTTATTTGAAATGGCCAGAAGAGTAGCATTGTTATCTTGTGGTACATCTAAATATATATTGTAAATGATGCTTCAGGTGCTGGAAATTGTTCGAAACCTGCAAAAGGGATCATTGTCAATTTAACACAAGTTTTGTTGAGTAATGTTAAGTTCAAGTGTATTTCATATTCATTGAACATTCACGTTTTATGCAATATTGTGTTTAACTTATCAAGATATCATTGCTAAATATTGCATAAAACAAACGAGATCTGTTTAGTTTTGCATAGTCTTTTTTTTAACCCATCTTTCAAGCATCATTGTTGTTTTGCTGCTGTTTAAAAAAATTAAGTTTACAGATTGTCATTAGAAACTATTTCACCAACATCTAAATTGAAACACTAGTTTTCACCTCACAAGTAATGCTCTACATAGAATTTATGCAATTGAATGAAATAGGTTATTAATTAACTTTAAAACAGTACTCATGAGAATCTCTGAAGTATCCAGCTAGTTTCATGTCATTGTGACATTTTGTTACATAAGTGTCAATAAGGAAGATCTTTTTTGAGCTTCTAAAGAAAGCATTTAATCGCTAATTAATGTTATACCAACCACCCTGTCATGTTCTTCAAAACTACACTCAAATCATGGTAATAATAATAATAATAATAATAATGATAATGATGATAATAATAATAATAATAATAATTAATAATAATGATAATAATAATGATGATAGTGATAGTGATAATAATATTAACTTTATTTATGTAGTGAGACTTGGGCTATCAGGCCTGCTCTTTCATCTAACTACAAGTTGTAGTTATTATATAGTTGTAGCTAGATTTTACTGAAACTTCAGATTCAGATTGCGCGAACATTGAGGTGTGAAATTGCATGAATGGCCAAGTTCGTGGCTGATGGAAACTTACTGAACCAGAGTAGCAGCTGTTTATTTTGGAAAAGTTCTTTATTGACTTTTAAAATAATTTGAAGTAATTTGTCAAATTTGTTTAACAATTAACAGTTTAAAAAAAAAGATATTTAAAAATCCGAAGATTTGTGTAGTGCTCTCTTCTATATTTTTTATGAAATTAAATTTCGTTACAGTTGAAGTGCTACAATGGTTTTGGGTTCATTTTATTTTCCACATTGATTTATTGACATTTTCTCATACATCAATGATTTTACTCCACTCAAGGTGGTAAAATGAAATTCTGTGCTTCTGTAGATTGGTTGATTGTTTTTAAGACCCACCATAACTGACATGGTATATAGCAATTTTTATATACCTGCCTTCAGGCTCTTCACCAGCTCAGGCCAGTGTAGCACCTGTTGGTCCAGAGAAGGAAGAAGGCAGACTCTTTAGTAAAGATAAGAAGTCAAATGCAGTACCTGACACAAAATTGAAAGAGCCTGTCGTTAGATTGAGTCGATTATCTGCAGAGGTGAGTAATATTCTGTTCAAAGTATGCTTTACTGGTACAATTATTGACTTTTACTTTATGTATTTTTGATGGTTTTTGTTTTATCATGTGGTGTGTTAAGAATAATAATTGTTAGTGCTAGCTTCTTTTTTTTTTAGCTTTGAGTGTTAAGTGTTTTCTTTCTTTAAAAAAGTGCTCTCTCTCTCTCTCTCTCTCTCTCTCTCTCTCTCTCTCTCTCTCTCTCTCTCTCTCTCTGTCCCCCTCTCTCTGTCTGTCCCTCTCTCTCTGTTCCCCTCTCTCTCTGTCCCTCTCTCTCTGTTCCCCTCTCTCTGTCCCCCTCTCTCTCTGTCCCCCTCTCTCTCTGTCCCTCTCTCTCTGTCCCTCTCTTTGTCCCTCTCTTTGTCCCTCTCTGTCCATCTCTCTCTGCTCCTCCCCTCTCTGTCCATCACTGCTGCTCCCCTCTGTCCCTCTCTCTCTGTTCCTCTCTCTGTCTCTCTCTCTCTCTCTGTGTCCCTCTATCTATCCCTCTCTCTCTGAACCTCTGTGTCCCTCTCTCTCTGTCCCCCCCCCTCTCTCTCTCTCTCTTGCTGGTGGAAAAGCAGGCCTAATGGCCTGATCCCTGTCATTAAGACAATTTTATTTTTGCTCTTATTATCTTTCCTCTAATATTTTTGTTTAATCTTTAGGCAATTATTAAATATGCCATGCAGATATTGTCCAATTTGAGTACTCTTTTTTTCCCTAAAGACAAATTTTATTAAATAAATATATTATGAAATAATATTGTAATTTTACTAAATTAATTATATTTGCTTGTTATTAATTATATTTATAATTATATTGAAAATTATTTAAATTTACAAAAAATTCAATTGTTCAAGAATTCGTGTGTCAACAATGTTTTCTCTCCGATTATCATTTATATCATTTTTTCATGTTACTGTGATTGTGTTTTTAGGATCAAGCACTTATGCAGAGAAGTTTACGAGCATTTGCTGAAAAGTCTCCGAACTTAGCTTCTAAATTGGGTATTACTGCCAATAATAAAGTGACTCAAGGAATGGACAAACATAATCAACATATTGAATCAGGTTCTGAAAGTGAAGATGAACCAAAAAGCACATCCAAATACTTCAAAGCTAGAGAAAAAGAACGTGAACTCCAGCGTCAAAAAGGTAGTTCATAAGTGTAATATTTTAATAAATGTGATCAAATAGATAATTATCCAATTATAATAGGAAAATGTTACTTTCTGGTTCTGATGTGTGCCATTTTTACTTTCTCGCCGTAACTGCATAAGAAGAGAATGTATCGTAATCATTCGCCAGAAAATGACAGATTTTAAACTCTTTATTATTGAGCCCTGCTAACGAAAAAGTGGATAAATGATGTTCACATATATAGCAAATTACTTCCTCTAACGTGTGGTGTAGCTGGAATCCATGTTTTGTGGGTTCTTGATATTGAAAAATCAATTGACCGCAAAACTTCAGTTTGTGGTCAACGCTAGCATTCTGCTAATTTTCTCCAAAATTGATATTTCCTGAGCGATCGAAACAAACTCCGGACTTTGAGAGTTTCAAGGGGATATTTTGATTCTTGAGGGAACTTCACAGGAGGGAGCATCAACAACATTTTCAAAATTTTCTGAAAAATGTTATTGATTTTTTTGAAATGAATCATTGTCCTTGGACAGCATTAAGGTTATCTAAGAGGCTAATGCAGGTCTTACATTCCTTGATTTTTCTAAAATTGCAAAAATGCAATATTTTTCAGTGTCTTCCCACAACACAGTAAATCCTTGTTAGCATGAATTCCAATTGACTGAAATAATTGGTGTTCTTGTTATAAAAATTCATGTTATTCAATTTTTATTTATATCCTCATTACTGTGTCTATGTGGCGGGATCTAGGTTTTGTTTGTTTTATGATAAATTTTGTTTTATGTGAATTCATGCCAACATGAGTTACTGTACAATATTGAAGATAGAGATTTTTTCCCCCATAGTGAAATCTGTTCTTTGGAGTCATCCATAAATTATGTAACACTAGAGGGGGCAGGGGATTGGAGGCAGTGTAAGGTTGCGTTACTTGGGGGGTAGGGGTGGTGTTAGTTTATGTACATTTATGTAACATCCATTTATTTTTAATTTTTCGACATCTGGTAAAAAGTTACTTTTTTCTGTGTTTTTTCTGTTTCTATAACAAAACATTAAAATATCAATTACTTTTTAAAAAACATAATTAATTTAAAGTTATTGCATTATTGTTACAATAAATAGACGTATTTTTTCATAATTTTGTATAGAGTTGTAAGGTTATAAAGAAAATATTCAAAACTGATCTATCGTATATTCTAGAATCCAATTAAATTTAGTGCAGTACATTATCGCTTGTGCGTCATCCACAACATGTAAATCGCTTCTAAGAAATTTTCACATCTGTGCATCCTTTCTTCACATAGCACTTGTTCCGAATGTTATTGTTACAAGTAGTCAGCATCACCAATTAATTATGACTTTCATTGTTGTAAATTTTAAAGTGGAACCCAAATTTTTTTAAAATTTATGTTATTTCTTGTAAATGGGGGGAGGGGGATTCTCAAGCCTTACGTAATTATTTTAGGGATGTTCAAGTGTGCTTTATGGGTGTGTTACTGTGAAGGGAGGGAGTATTCAAAATACTCCATATTGGCGTGGTGGTCCTCCTACGCATGGTAGTTTAGCTCGTAATATAGTCTATTTTTTCTTTTTCCTCCAAAAATGGAACTAAATTTGTTCTTGAAATTGTCTTGTATGTATCCAAGTACAGCAAAAAATATGGTGCTTGTCCTATTTTCAGCAAACGCTCTTTATTTTCGTAAACTGTAGAAAGTTATCATTTCAAACTACAGAATTGAAGATAGAGGCTTTAAACAAAATCTGTTCTAAAAAATAAATCCCTTATAAAAAAGAGTAGTTTTCACATAATTCTGGTTGAAAATAATGCAAATTATGAGAAGAAAACATTTTCTCAAAAACTGGTCCTAACTTTTCCTTTTAATTTTTAAAGAAAAAATTAGGACCAGTTGTTTTCCAAGGGATGGTTAAAAGAATGGTAGGGATCTCATTTTTCGATGATCTCCCTGAATTTTCAAAAATATATGTTGAAAATATTGGGTTGAGACAATTACTTTTCAAGTGTCAGCCTGAGTTAAAACTCAAGCATATCCTTGGCATGGAGGTAAGGCTTAGGGCAAGTTAATTCAGTGGACCTGAGTTTGAGTCTTTGTGTGGAAAAAAATTGTTGCTGGTTGAAAATAATGCAAGCAGTTAGAAATAATGCAAGAAAGTACGTGCTGTTGATGTCCACTAGTTGAAAAGTTTCGGATGGAATAAAGGTGTAGTGTTGTAGGTAGAGTAGAATTATGATCAGAACTGACAGAACATATTTTGTGACATATAGAGGAAGGGGAATGGGAGGAAAAGAAAGAAAGAACAAAGAAATAAAAAATAATTTCTAATGCATTGTTTTACGAAGTTATGTTTGCCCATACATTTTTAATAGAATGTTCACATATAATTTTCCCACTAGTAAATAATAGTAATAACTAAAATAAATACTTGAGATAGTAAGTGTAGCTGTTATAAATTTTCTTATTCTTAAAAATCAATAACTTATGGGTTTTAAGAGTGTTTATTCTGAGCTTTGAGTTGTGAAATTTGAAATTCCAGTTGGAGTATTTTGAAGATTAAATTTTAAAGATTTGTGATTTTATTAGTTTTTTACCCCAATCTTTTAAATAATAACCTACATGAATTTTTATCATAATTAAAAATTTATGAGATTCCATTGATTTTGAACCCCTCATCATAATCATCATTGTATAGGATTGATTTTCACATCTTGTTGATGGATAATGAAACAGCATTGTTTCTTGTGTTGAAGTGTGAATGTTAGCCTATTAATGTGATATTATTTGGAATATTCTTGAAAGTAGGTGTTACTCTTGCAGTTTTGCTCAAATCAAATACCTATTTGTTGTGGTTATGAACATTTACAATGAAATGAGGGTTAATAATGATTTTCCATTTGTGCAGTTGGGTGAACCAAGTATATTTTATTTCAGGTATTCAGAGAGCATTAAAGAGTTTTTTGTAGCACATTGCAAAAGATTTTCAATGCATAATATATAATAAAATTAAACAGATTTTTGTGCTCACATAGTTTGAGGTTTACAATTTCTTTAGCTTAGCTATTTTTATTTTTTATTTATTTATTTGGGAATTTTACATTTGTCCAAGACCGTGAAGAAATGCATGAATCGTCTCTTTTACCAGGAGTAATTTTCAAGCATCTTTTCTTACATTTCCCACATGAGAAAAACCCGAAGTTTCTGGAAGTGTGCAAACAATGATAAAACAGAAGAGCATTACACTATAAACAAAGTTCACAATTCTGTGGGCATTTATAGTAAAGTTGTTGCATGTTGATGGCATCTAGAGATCCAGAATTAAATACAAACTGAATATTAAATTCTCTCTTCTTCTTTATTTTTATTTATAAGAAAGATAATAATAATAATAATGATGATGATGATGATGATGATGATGATGATGATGATGGTGATGATGATGTCTTTAATAATGGCGAGGCTCAGGCCATAGGGCCTGCTCTTCCGCCTAACCACAAAGATAAAGAACAACCTTACTTATATATTAACTTAACTTCTTGCATTTACAGTGGAACTTCTAATGGACATTTCTCTACAGCAAGCATTTACACATTCCCCAAATGTACTCTATTAGTTTTAATACATTGTGTATGTCTGTGTAGCTGATGTTCTCTGTATTGGATGGAGCTAGGCACCAATTACCAGTTTCATTTATATTAGCATTAAATTTGTTCTCCAAGTAACACTCTAATCATCTGTTTCTGATTCTCCAAATTTCTCCCTTCTATCAGCATGGTTCTCATTTACTTTCAAGACTTTAAAGGGGGGTTGGTTGTGATAGTTTTGAATTTCTTTGTTCTCATCCAATAAGAATTGAATCATGAAACTATCGCTAAGGGGTTTAGAAAAGTTCTAGTAATAAAAGTTTGAAATGATGAAATGGTAATATTTAACCTAGACAAGGAGAGAGAACTGTGCTGGGGTCTTTTGTTGACACCCCCTCTCTCTCTCAACCCACTGGTTTGTGACTTTTAATATTGCCTCTTACAAGTTCATACAAGTGACAATTTACAAGTTCATACCGTTTAGTAAATGGATGCATTCAATAATTTACAAAAGTATAATCGAAAATAACAAGTGTTATATTCAATTATACTTTGATGCAATAACAAAAATATATTAGATTAATTAAAATTATGTAATATGTTATATTTATAAAAGTGGTAAAAGTTAGTATACAATCTAAATTAAAATCGTTTGCAATTTGACACATGCACCACAATGGCAAATAAAACAATAAATTCATTCTCACTATCAGTATCACAAATATTTGGATATTGTTATGCAAATATCTAAATGGTAAATTCAGAAAGTGAGAATTCACAATCAACTTTATAATTGATCATTTTATAAAGAAAAATGTGTTCATTATATAACCTGCGGGAATGTAATGATCTAATATTTAGAATTTGAAGTCTAAACTAGATTAATTAGAAACCTGGCAGATAACAAATTTGGTCCTTAACTATTGTTCAATTCTAGTGACAAAAATTTTTTTACAATTTTTTGCTCAAGAAGAGCAGAGTTTGCGTAATAATATGGTATAGATGTGATTTTCATTAAAACCTTTTGAATTTAGAAATTGCAAGTTCAAATTTTGTTTCAGACCCTATCTTACTCCATCAATATTGAAGCTTAGAGAGGTGTGTCTTAATAAGTCTCTCTATGTAAAAATGTCATCATTAGAGCACTAGGGTTACAAAGGGTACTTTAATATTGTAAAGACATGTTATATTGGCCCTGATGTATTACTTTATCCACAAATGTTGTCTGGAGCATGCATGCTGTAAGCGAATTGATTCAGAATGGCACAACAGCTGGCAGTTTTGTCTGTCCAGGTACTGTGTAATGAAGCAATAAGCTTATAACAAGCATGGTTGAACTATTTTTCAATATGGGGGAAATATAGCAAAGAAACCACTGTATGGTGGTCTTCAGGGAAGGCATTTAGATGTTTTTCCCATATTTGTGCATTTCAATTCAATGAGGTAGGTATGGGAAAAGGTGGCAGACGAGAATACTGACCAGTTCATTGAAGATTCCTCATTGTTTAATGGCATGATGAATATAAAAACCTGAGTATACCTCTATTCCAAAAATTATTTTTAATATCAGTGCTTCTCAGCCAAGCCTTTTAGGTTATGGGGTATGTTATCATGAATATTTGGAGCTCAGTGCACTATAATATGTCCCTATTTAGTACACCTAGTTAATCTGCTCATCTCGTGGAAGTGTTGACTCTTGCAATATTTCTTTTTTTCCCATTCTTTTAACCTGTTCCCTGTGGGCTGCTTGAGGTTTTCTGGCCAGCATCTATTTGGCCGCTTAGTATGTGTATATGCACATCTATGTGAATATGCATGCACTGAAAGGAATCAGTCGTAAAAGATTGTAACAAAATTTGTTAAATTTTATTCTTTATAATATTTAACTTATTCTTTATAATATTTTACATAATGTATTTTAAAAATTATTTGTCAGGTCCTAAATACTGATCTTAATGTGTATTTTTCTCACAGAAATGTAATAATTTTTGGGTCTTCTTCCTCTGTTTCTACTAAGGAAGGAAAGGGAATAAAACACCCATTAAACATACCCGATAAATCTAATCTGGCTGCCATAATGCAAATATGTTTATTTATAGAAGAACAAAGGTTCTTTAACACAATAATTATTGTGGAGATTTGACTGATAGAGTAATATTCATCTTAAGTTTACTTTCTGTGGGCATGATGACTGAAGTCAAATTGGCTCGTACTTTAAATACATATAATTTTTCCATTGCAGATCGCGAAGAAAGGAAACGTGTAAGCACATATGATGAAGACTATTTTCCTGGCAATTCAGAAACAGAGACTTTCTCTGAAAGAAGTAAAAGGCGTAAGAGGTCACTTCCTAATCATAAACCAGATGATGATAGTGCAAATGCAAATTGTGATGGTATGAAATTTCACTTTGTGTTATAATTTTGTAGCCTATACTTCTTCTTCTAAAGATTTATGAAGTCTTGTATACTTGTGTTTAATTAGTTTCTTCTTAATTCTAGGCCCAGATTCTGTGGTGCCAAAAACAAAACTTCGTAAGGTTGAAAGGAAGCTTGTTCCTGTGTTGGAAAAATTGAGCGTGGAAGAACTGATGGAGACAAACACTTATCAGAGGTTTAATCGTTCAATAGAAGCAATCTTCGATCACACTGAAGATTTAGATTTAACTACTGATATGGGTAAGATAATTTAAATATTATTTGTACTTTATATGTTATATTAATGAAGGAAAGTCTGAATTTGTATTGAAATATTCTATTTTGGAAATTTGAACATATTTTCTCTTGGGTCGGAGAAATGTTTTCTTATCGGTATATTAAGTTGTGATATTTCTTTTTATTGTTATCAATTGCATATTACTTCTACTTTCTGGTTTAAACCTTTGGAGAAATATGTTTCAAGAACCATAGACAGCTTTCAATTATGAGTAATTTGGTATATTTCATTTTATGTTTCAATTTGTGTTTTGTTAAGACCGCTAAGAACTATGTTTATACCAATTACTGATCAGACAGTTTTCAAATATTTTCTTCATTACTTTGTAAGAGAATGTTTACACACTTTGTAAAAGAATATTTTAAATTCACTTTTTATAGTGTGCTGTGTTGTATTGTTTTTAGATGTAGATGCAGATACTCCACCAGAAGCCCTAATTCCAAAGTATCAGCTTCAGGATATATGCAGTGAAGCGGCCAAGTTAAAAACTTTGGGTGCTATGGAATCAATCCCACCAGATCGCCTTGTGAGATTACTGAATATTTTGGAGAAGAACATCCGTGATGGCACTCGTATATCTCCGTTGGCAGATCCAGTGAGAAATAATTCATTTTTTGACATGCTTAAAAATAATCTTGATAAATGTTTTGTATGTTTTCTGTGTTGAAAGAGTTGTCATACTGAGTGCAATTTGTAATGAATATCTTTGCTTTCACAATCGGGCAGATTTATTTGTTTTGGTAACCATAGAACCCAGGTGTAAGAGATCCTAGTGACATAATTTTGTTTCTTATTCTGTATAGATAATCTTCTCGTAAAATTATCTTACATTTATACTGTTTTCGACATGAGATATGATGTCAGATTTTCCCGATATGGATGTTAACTTCTTTCGAGAGTCCTTGTGCAATTGGGATTCTCAAAAAATATTTCAGTTGAGATGTAAATTTCTATGGAGAAAGATTAATAGGAAGTTCAGTGTGATGTTCAGTATTATGATGCGTCTTTTGCCTTATCAAATAATATACAGCTCGCACAGTTTTTACTCACCTAAACACAAATTAGCATGAATGAGCTCTCGCCAGAGATCACATGCCTTCCACAGGACAATGCACAGGGAAATTGTCATCATATTTTCACCTTTCAGAGGTGACCTGTATTCCTTCTGGAAGAGGATTTCCATGGATAGCAATCCTGTCTTGTGTAGCTTTTGTCAAAGTTGCTACAAGTTTCTCTCTCTGCTTGCAGTGTGGGAAAGTGGTTCAAAAATTCTTCTGGAATCAGTATTACATCAATTACAATAAAATACCAATCTAAGGGAATTGTGGGGACCTCAGTAATTTGTTTTTCTACACCCATTGTATAATTCTGTCATTTGATGGCTGCATCCCGTTGCTGCAAATGTTTCATTTGATTGTGTACATTAACATTGTATTTAATATATTATTCTTGTCAGTTTTAATTTCTTTTATTATTTGTAATTTTTTATGAGGAATATTATTTAAAACAAGTATGATCGTAATTTCACTTTCATCCTATTTAACCAGTGCAGTGGTAATTGGAGGGAACATTTGACTTGACGTTAAGATCAGAATACAAGTCATTTTGTGTTATATGTCGCTGCTGTGTGGTTGGGCCTTAAAAATCGGGCAACTCTGTAGTTTAAAATGTCTAGCAAATCAATCCCTAAATAAGTTAAAACTTAACTTTTATACTCCCTCACAGGTGGACTGGTAAACCAAAGTCCCCTGGGGCAGGGCAGGGCAGGGCAGGGCAGCATAGGATAGGGAGGCGTCTGCTAGGTGGCCTTGGCTGAATCATGCATGTCAACTGCCAAGAAAAGATTCAATATAAAAATTACCGTAAGTTGGAGAACTAGTACCGCATGAAACTGAATTGCTTTTACTTTCTAGCACCTTTAACAAAAGCTGCATAAGAAGGTATTGCTTTCCATGGAAATACTCTTCCTGAAATAATTCAGGTCATCTCTGAAATGTGAAATTCTATTGTCACTTTCCCTGTGTATTCTGGGTATTGATACTCTCATGTGAAGTTACCGATACTCTCTCATATCGTAATATCACACTTGTGTATTGATACTCATCATTACATCATTGTTTCATAACATAATGATGTTATGAAATTACAAATAAGAAAACTTAATATTTATTAGAAGAGAGTAACATGAAATAATTCAATGTAATAATTGAAGGTGATTCTTTATAATTTTCCAGCAAATGTTTAATTCTGATTTTTCAAATACGGTTATTGAGATGCAAAATTTTAGCAGTGATTGCTTGTTTAGAAACTTTTCACTCCTACCCAATCAATAACAGCACTCGAGCATTGGAAGATGTGCAAAGCTTGACCATTTGCATTCATTTCTGGAACATGTCTGTAATTATATTTTGAAAACATAAAGTTTAGGCAGAAAGTGGGATTTTATTTTGTTGTAGTTAAAGTTTGAATTTCATTGAAGTGAAATATTTTGCATTTAACTCATACATAAAATGATAGAGATCTGATAGTAGTTCTGGGAAACTAAAATGTTTGTTAAACCGAAATTTCACTTGCAGGAAACATGTATGTTCCCTTTCCTTTAGGACGAACATACCCATACTGTTTTATACTGGAACTTGAGTCAGTCCATAATGGCTCTTTAACCCATTAACGGCTAGTGGTGCATGAGCACACCAAAGAAAAATATTTTGTTCTAAAATAATTCATGTTTGAATTTGTGGTTTTCTGTGCCAGCATTTTTATTGGTCTGATAATATAGCTCAATTTTCAATAAAATTTTAACAGATTTTCAAAAATTAATAATTCCTAAATAGATGCATCTAGAGGGAAAAAAAACTGTTACGCAAAACAAAAGAGACCTTTCTGTCTTCTCTAGAATAATATGCAAATATTCCTTTTATTTGTTTATTCATAAATGTTCCCTGAATATACTTGGTGTGCTGACTGGGACAGGAATCCTTCTTGAAAAGCCCAGGCTATGTACTTATCTGCCATTGAAAGAAGGCATGTGGCTTAGGAAAGTTTTCTGCCAAAAATAGATGCATGATCTTGCTACAAACACCACCACATTGGAGGTACTGAATAAATCTACCCTAGTCCTTTACAATAGCAAATGTGCTGCAGTTCTTCTGCAAGTGAAGTGTGGTACGAGTTGCGACATTTAGCCGCTCTATTTGCATCACAGCACAAGTGATTGGTTTCGGTTCTATGTTCTTTTGATGATGATAATAATAATGATGATAATAATTTTGCACATGCATGTCAATTTCAAAATTCTGGTTTCCAGATTGAGAGTTCAATTGAGTAACTGCATGTAGTTGATATATTGGTTTTGATATATACCAGTATCCCTTTAATTTACTTGAAAATGATATAAAATATTCAATCACGACATTTCTGACCTATTCACCTCACAGAAAAGTCTTTATTCGTCAAAGAACTTTAGCCGTTTTGTTTTTTCTTAAAATGTTTCTTTTCGAAACAGCTGGTAAATAAAAATTTTTGATACAGGCAATGATGATATTGCTCTTATTTCACCAAAGGTGGGCTAACTGGTAGATAAGTAGGATATAGGCAACAGGAAAATCCTATAAGATTTAGATGAGTGTGTGAAAATCAAACCATGTTTTTGGGTACAAATGGTGTGGGCATGTTTATTCCAAGTAGTTTTGAAACTTATAATTCAAGGGTGTCCAACTTGCAAGGCCTTAAGGGACAAAATTAAATCCTTTAACATGGCTGTGGGCCATATTTTCATTACTCAGGGGATCCACGCCTAGCTTTCCCATTTTGTTGAGCTTGGCACTTTGATCGAGTGCTTTGATATGGGGGAGTGGAACCGTTCGTGATGTCAGGCAGTGCCATGTGTAATGCAGTGAAATACATTGAGATGATTGACAATTTCTGAATTTTCTAGAAAAAATCCTTAAACTTAACTTTTTTTTTTACATTAAATGGGGTGTTGAATCTGGCAGGGTGCGTGCGCTAGGCGCTCGATGTTCTCGCACGACAAATGAAAGGGACTCCCACTTTTGACTAATAACCTTTCGGAAACCACAATAAATAGCACTGGGGGCCGCATGCAGTATTGGCTGCCAATTGGACAACCATGTTATAATTTAAAATAACATGAAGTGACCAAGTATAATAGCCAAATAATATGATAAAATAGTAGGTATTTGCAAAATTGTATTATATTTTTTTATTTCTTGATTTCCTGTCCTAAAGCAATGCAACAGGGAGAAAGCTTTACTGTGTACCCTAGCATTTTTCTGCCCAGTCACCATCCCCTCTTTGGGCCATGGATGCATGATCGCAAAATCCAGTTTTGAGTTACCTAGTTTAGACACAAAATGTTTTACTTCAAAATATCATTATTAGGGTTAAAAATAACACATTCTTAGAAAATTAGCTATTTTCATTCAGTTATTCGAGGACCAGCAAATAAAAGGTTATGCAGGTAATCTTATAATAGGGTTGTGCTGCATTTTAATTACTTGCGTCTTTCATTGTTTATGAATTCAAAATTTTATTTTTGTGCTCGTTACCATTTTTTATCATCATTAATAATTAATTTTGTTAATCTAAAATAATGATAATCCTAATGATGATGATAACAATAATGATAACGAATCAGTATTGTTATTATATTATTTTATTGCCATTATTTTATTACAATGATTATGACAACAAAATATTGTCTGCAAATTAAGCAATTAAATCTATGGCCAAAAATTTCCTGATTTATATATTTCTATTTATAAATGGAAGTGATAAGGTTTTGTCTCCATAAATGTAGCCTTATTTTTTGGTCATAAGATTAAATTAAGTAACATTAATGACAACAATAACTAAAATTGTGATGATACAATTATATTCTGTATTTTTCTTTCTTTGTATTGAGATTATATATATTGAGAAAAATATTTCAAAAAGATCCATATGTATTTTTAATTTATTTTAGTAAATGTTTGTAACTCTACTGTGCTTGTTAATGAATTAATGAATTTCTTAGGATGATGATGAAGATGAAAGCAAGCTGTGGTTGGAACTGACGATGGAAAGAGTAATGAGAGCAGTTGATGCTTCTCTGACTTCCTTATATATTTTGACATCTCCAAATATGCCAAAAAGAATATATTTAGAAGATGTTATTGATAGAATCGTAGTCTTTACAAAATATCAATTGCAAAATACCATCTACCCATCATTTGATCCAGTGTATAGAGTGGACAGCAAAGTTAAAGGTATATTTAACTACTTGAAACACACCAGAAATATTAATATTTTGAAATGTGGGATTTTCTTAGCAAATTTTCATAGGAATCCTTAGGAATTGGGAGCATTGGATTTTGATAAATTTTATCAGAGTTTTGAGATAATTGACGGTGAGCACTCTCTTGATATACAGAATTTGACTCTAATTATTTCTATTTTCATAGACATAAGTTTAACAACAAAAAAAAATAGTTGTGTACTTACAGCTGTACATACTTAATATCTCATAAGTTGATTATATTGCTATATGTTCATTGTTATTCTGAACAATAATATTAAGCAGAGTCATTGTTTTTCAATATTAGAAGCATTAACTTGTTGGCTCTGAGTATTGAGTTATAAAGGTAGTACAGCAAACTCTTGATTTTCCATGGAATTGAGTGTCTTGGCAACCACAGATAAGTGAATTCTACCAATAAATCTGAAATGGGCTGAAAAAGGTCCAAAATCAACACAAAAATGCTTTTAACATATTTTATTTACACTAAAGTCGCTATACATATGATATACAATAAGTTGTTAAGTCACTGAAATTGTTTGCTAGCATTGTGTGTGGGTGTTTTTGTTTTTGCTTTTAGCTAATAAAATTATTATTACTTTCTAGACTATGTTGGAAGTGCAAGAAAGAAGCGAGCACAAGCTAAGGAAGTTCGGGAAAAAAGTATTTTGTCACTGTACAATAAACTTCATGAAATGGTCGGTTTGCTTTCCGAGTTATTAACTATTCAAGTTCTAACCGACAATGCAGTACTTCATGCTTCCTCAATGGGAGTGGCACCTTTTTTTGTTGAAAATGTCAGTGAACTTCAGCTTTCAGCACTGAAATTGGTGACAACTGTGAGTAGAGTTCTTTTATTCATAGCTATTTCTAATGTTTGTTAATTTTTTAAATAATTGTCTTCACTTGCATTTATTTTTCAATTTTCCCAATGTATATCAGTTATGCGTTTTATGTTAATATGTTTTTCACACTTATACGTTCATAATAAAAGTCCCTTGAAGGCCGTATAAAGTTCAAATTATCCCGGAGAGGGGCAGGGCTACCTGCGCCAAGAACCCGGAACTTGCATGTTACTCGCGTCGGTATGCTGCAAAGCACTCCTGTGGAGCAACTTGTCGCTTGGACTCTGAGGCATCTTCTAGTTAATGAAACTTGTAATATAAGCTCAACTTGGCCTAGGCGAGTGGCCATGACCCCATGGGTCCACGGGGTTGTAGTGCAAAGTCAGCTTCCAAACCACCTCCAGCAGCGGAGCTTCAAAAAATATTTGTTTTGTGTGCGTAAATGAGCTCTTCGAAGATCTCGAGAGACAACGGCTGAGTCAGAGAGAAGGTCAAAGGCGTCCCTGGGAAAGAGTAACGACATATATGACCGATAAATGAAGTTTATGCACTGACTGTCCCACTCTCCGAAGGCCCTTGTGCATGCCATAATAACACACGAGATCCTTTTGATAGTGGCATGCACAAGCAGCTACTGAAAAGGATTACGGATTAAAAAACTGGATATTGCTTATGAACTGGGAAAACTGCTAAAACAATAGTGTAAAAATATTGAGTTTTTATCTTACCCATAATAATCAATTTCAGTTTTGCGTTTTTCTCACTCGTACATTTTTGCCCTTCAGTCCCCTGAAAAACGTGTAAGTGAAGTTCTACTGTATTGAGAAAATAGGCTTACTCTATTTCTTTCTCATATACTAGTATACATGTTTGAATCTGGCTAGTTTGAGTAACTGGTTATGGGTTCACTTTATCCAAAATGAGTAACTGAAGTCCAAAGTAGGAACAGCTTTGAACCATTCTTCACATTAAGCCTTCACTAGATGGCTAGAGTAGATGAATAGGGTTCTGAGAGAAGGAAGAGCAAATATGTGATTAACAGGAATCAGATATGTAGTGGAAAGTTTCTAAAGCTAGTGAAAGACGAAGGGTGTAGTTTATAGTTCCATTATGTCAGTCGGAAATTTCCATTTACACGATACAATGTAACCTAATCTCACTATAGACCTCAACTGAAGCACTGCTAAGCATTTCCGTTTTAAAGTGACAAGTCTGTGGCTTTCGACTTTCGCAATTTACATTACACACCCTCGAGTGTGTGCAAAGCTTAATTTCAAACACATTTTTAAGCCAAAATACTTCTCACAAACACACAAGACACTTTAGCCATCACCCTGTGGCTACATTACTCTTATGAGGTCCAAAATGATTCCTTTGCCATTCATACAGATTTTTCCACACAATCTGGCTAAGGCGCTAATTAAATGGCTAATTTGCAAATTAACCGTATTACAACCTTAAGCTGTAACATATATGAGGGACATGCCAAAAGTAATGCATAATAATTTTTTTAACATTAAATTTATTTTCCATACCTTTGCTATTTTTACAGTATGTTGATTCATTCTTGAGAAACAAAAATTCATTCTTTACATAATTTCCATCTCTTTCTACTTTAAAAAAGGGAATGTATACCTGCTTGGTAGAAGGTTGGGTCAGCCCTTCTCAGCCACTGTTTAGCAGCCTTCTCAATGGAGTCATCATCTCCTGGAAACCACCTGACAGAAACCTTTTTCAATTGCAGTTCTTTCGATATTCTGCCCATTCTCACTTTTCCTATACCCACTTTAATTGACAATTTATTCATGGTTACATTTTTGTCAGCCTAAATGAGGGTGTGAATGAGCTGCTCATGGAAAGGAAAGGAAACATTCCCCAGTCAAGTAACTTGTTGCTGGCTGTGCAATTTATTTTTAATGTGCAAGATGTTTTCAACTTTATTACTGTTCCAGATAATAGTAATAATAATAATAATAATAATAATAATAATAATAATAATAATAATAATAATAATAATGATAATGATAATAATAATAATAATCCAGCTGTAGCCCATTTTATTGTTATGGAAAGACCTAGTTGAAACAGTGTAATCAATTGTGTTTATAAAAGTTGAATGATAAATTTTTAAAAAGTGCAATTTACCATGTACTTTCTTAATTTCAGATTTTCTGTTTTTACACAATTAAATAAAACTAGAGAATATGGCATGAAGTTATACTAGAGAATAATTAACTTAATACA